CTGCCGCTCCCGGCCCGCAGCCGCCACCGGCGGCGAGTGACCCTCCCTGCCCGCAGCCCCGGCAGCAGGCACAGGGACAGGGACAGACACAGACAGACGGGGACAGGGACAGATATACGAACACACACACAGACACACACACACACACACACACACACACACTGCGGCCGCTGCCGCCGCTTGGAAATCGCTCCCGGCTGCTCCTGGGATCTGCACAGGCTGATTTATCCCTGCTCGCAGCTGCCGAGCTCCATCTGCTGAGCTGCTGCTAACCGGCCGTGCCGCGGCAGCGATCTGTCCCTGCCTTCTGCTTCTCTCTCCGTCTTCTCTTCTTCCCTCCCTGCTCTCTTTTCTATCCCTCTTCGCTAGGAACACTTACCCTTCTTAATCAATAAACAGTTCTCACATACAACATTGCTGCCTTTGTGTTTTATTTTCATCCGAGAAATCTGTCACTAAGAATCCTCCTCAACTCCCCTTTTACAGCAGGATGGGACACATGGGTTGAGGTAAAGACAATTTAACATGGAAAGTAAAAGTCACTCACAGAAACAAAGCAAGTCAAGGAATTCCATTCAGTGCTTCCCATAGGCAGGCAGGTGTTCATCTGCCTCCAGGAGAGCAGGGCCCCATTCTGTGTAAGGATGACTTGGGAAGACAAATGCCATGGCTCTGAACTTCCTCCCCTTATTTCTTCTTCCTCCAGATTTATATGCTAAGCATGGCACCATAAGGTATGGGATTGGGATACCCCTTGGGTCACTTGGGGTCAGCTGTCTCAGCTGTGTCCCCTCACAGTTCCTTGTCCTTCCCTCAGCCTTCTCACTGGTGGGGTAGATGAGGAGCAGCAAAGGCCTTGCCTCTGTACCAGCACTGCTCAGCAGTAACAAAAACATAGGGATCACTTATCTTTCTTAATCAATAAACAGTTCTCATATATAATATTGTCATGTTTGTACTATATTTTTGTCTGAGAAATCTATCAAAAGAATCCTCCCTGATTCCCCTTTTACATCAGGATAGGACACATGGGAAAGTTTGGAATTGTTGGCTCCTCTCGTATCTCCCTGACTGGACCACAGGTCTCCAGGCTCTTTGATACAAAAGTGTCAATAAGCTTGGGCTCCTGCCCTGAGAGCTCAACTTGCAGCTTGCACACTGTGCTACCTGCATCAAATATATTCTTCAACACTACTTCTCCACTCTCCTATATTTTCACACCTGACTCAAGCTCGCTCCAATCAATACATATGTTCTTTGAATTTAGAAATCCAGCAGCCTGATGATATGGGGTAAGGAGACGTGAGGACTCAGAACAACTGATTTGGTATTACAGAGTAGCTCTGCACGGGCAAAGACTAACCTTCATTTTCTAAATTACATTAATATTGTTGATGGAAATACCTATGGAACCAGAACTGATCATGATACTCTAACTGGTGATAACAAGGTATTTTTACAAGAAACTATCTCCCTGGCAGCTGTGGTTGCAACACAGATAATATGCTGCATACTATCTCAACATGTCAGCTCAGTGCTGTGTCAGAGATGAGATCGTTATTCACCTGTTTGTCCTGTGAGACATGGTAGGGGTATTCTGTAACAGCAATTCGTTCTTTGGCAATTCTTCATTGTGCTGCTGGTTCCTGCACAAGACAGGAAACTGACTGTACACCAGCACTGTCTTCCATACTGCTCTGTAGCAATCAATAGGCCTGTGCAAAAAGACAGCAATAGTGCAATTAACTTCTGACAATTTTGGCATGTGAAAACAAGGATTATTAATATTCCCAAGGATAATCACTCTAACCTAGTTTAGCCAAATAGCCCTTCAAATCTGGCAGTAAATAGCAAATCTCACATAAAGCAATAAAAAATTTGGAATTAAAATAAATTGGTGGTATTTAATCATACTTTGGAACACTAAAATTCTTGCATCAATTTTAAAGTGAGCAATGACATCTAGTGTATAATGATGATAGTGTAACGAATCTCTCACTCTCTGAAACTGAGCTCCCTGCGCAAAAGACTGTGCCATTAAACAAAATGAGGTTCTATTTTATGGCTGAACTCTTTATTTCACATTGTCTTTTTACCAAATTTTTTTTCACTTGAAAGGACTATTTAATCCAATTGTTTACTATGACCCACTTCATAAAAAAGTCAAAGAGTCCTACTGAGTTATGTCTCCATCAACTCGCCATGAAAAATGTAGAGATTTCCTTTTTCCTTCTTGAAAAAAAAATAAACAATATACAGGGATTGATAGAATCTGTTTCCACTCATTAATGCCTCAGCCCAAAATTACAGGTTTTTCTGTAATGATCTTGGTGATGTGGTTAGGGGCACAGGCGGTTGCCACAAAGAACAGCTATAGCTACAGGTAAAGTAGAGGTTGCCTGTACAGGTTACCTGAACACAGCTCAATCAGTAGCTTGTGATGATCCTATGTATTTAATCATCAGTGTGATTCCTGCAGATTTTCAGCTGTACCAACTGAAGCAGGAATTCTGGAAATTACCCATCACAAAGCAACACTACCTGAGAAAAAAGAGCAAAAAAAGATTAATAGTTCAATACAATCTTCATAATGACTACATATTTTGGGGTCCAGCAGAATGCTGCCTGGTCTGCAGAGGAAAATGACAAATGAATGCTATCTAACATTTTGCTTGAACAGTTTTTCCATTCAGAAAACTATCTGCAATGCAATAATGAGAAAAGCAGAACTGTGAAGCATTTTATAAGGCTGATTACCTTTCTAGGACATATAATTTGATACAGGCTTTGTTTATCCAGAGTAAATTCAGTGGTTGAAAAGATTAATTGAACCTATTCTATGCTATTTGTACATGCTCTCACAGAGGAAGTAACTTGTATTTTTTTCTTATTGACTTTTGTACAAGAGCCTGAAATACACCAGCAAGAGTGAAATGACTTTTCTAAATTTAGTAGTTCATAAATCTTACAAGACACAAGTCCATCCAGTGGTTTGTTGTTTTGTGCTTTTTTCCTTCTTTCATATATCCAAATAAAATAGGAGTGCACGCAGAAGGGGCACAGTACTTGCTTTTGCTTTTCTCCCTTCCCAGGGTACAGGAGGCATCTGTTAGCTTACTTGTGCTTTCCTCCCTGCTCTCTCCCCATAAACATAATGTATGCAGGTGTGTATACACATACATATGCATGTACGAACTTTCATTTTTGACTCTTCAGCTAATTGACCAGAAACTGCTATGACTTCAAGGCACAAAGCCCTTGGTTTTGGAGGAGCTGTGTGACCTGGCTCACGTAGTTGGTTGAGGATTAAACTTAACATCCTAGCTACACTCACTGGGTGAATGATCTTAAAAAAAATATCCTCTGAATGTCTTTTTCCCTATGCACTTGATGTTCATCTCAATGCCTTGGACAGCAGCTTTTCATTTAGTTGTGTCTTGTTCTGTTCCAAAGCATCCGAAGAGGAAACCTTTCCTCTCCTTTCCATCAGCTCTTGGTAATAAAAAAGGCTTGCTTCAGTTAATTCTGCTCACCCTCTGGAGACCACTGACAACATACCTAGATGAGCAGGTTGCCTAGCTAGGTTTGTGATGTTTCCAGGTCTTCTGTCACATCATGGCAAAGGCCACGAAACTTGCTGACTTGCGGACAGTTCTACCTTGCTGGAAACTAACACTTGAAACTTCTTAAAACTGAGGCACTGAGCATCTGTGACACTACTGATGATTCATCTGCCAATAAAATGTGACAACAGCAGCAGCATTTTCTGCAGCCACCTTTTGGATTCTGGTCCAGTTTGGAGACAGAAACATGTTTCATCCCTACAGTTTCACGTCAATGTGATGAGCATTAGAAACTCATTTAAAGCACAGCAGGTGAGTACTAAGGTAGCCCTGTGCAGAGCACCCTGGGTTATCCCACGCCTACATGAGCAGGCTCTGCATACACATAGAGCAAGATAACTGTGGTGGGTTTATTTGCTGTCATGTCTCTCACGATATTTCAAGTTACCCCAATGTGAAAGACTGGAGAAAATCATTACTTGCTCAAAACAACCGAAGTGTGTGTGTGTGTGTGTGTGTGTGTGCGTGGCAGGGTGGCAAGGCAAGCTCTGCAAAAAGTGGGGTAATGGACTCCTCCATACCCCACCCCTCTGGAGCCTCTAGTCCAGCTCCAGAACGGTTATCAGCTACTGGCACACCAGAAGTCCCATGTGAAAGGGAGGGTCCTAGGAGGCCACAGCAAATAAAAGCAGTTGCACAAAGACACACCCTCTCCGTTTCTAACTTCCTCTTCTTGAAATCTGGGTAACTTTAAGTTAGACGGGTTAGAGTTTGCTAAGTCAATGCCTTGTGAAACGCTTTATTATGGTGAATAAAATGGAAGAGTACACTGGAACTGATAAAGCAGCGTGATATCTTAGGCCTGACGGAGCAGAAACCGTGGCAGAGACAAATACAGATAAATGTTCCCTGAAGAAGTAACCAAGGAACATGTTGTGAAACTTTATGATAATGTTACCAGGTGATGTGAAGAAGAATGTGTAACCAATGGGAAATTGTTACCAAAACTAGAACCCTACATAAGTGCCATACAAGTAAAACCCTATATGAATGCCTTGTATACTCAATAAAATTGGCTCCTGATCACAACTGACAATGTCCCCGTCTCTCCATCACCATTACTTTATATTGATTTAATGTTTTAAAAATCGCTAGGTGCCCTTATTTTCTAAAATTCGCCTGTAGAAGTTTGTTTAACCTCCTGAGAACGTTGTGTTTCTCCCATGTGCCTATCTCTGGGAATAAAAAAATTTAAGCTTAAACTTAGAGAAACACATCAAGAGAGTCCAGGACTTTACACCCCAGGTCTGGTAGATAAGACACTTTCTTTTCAAAAGGCACCTGGAAAACAGGCAGAATATCCAGGGAAAGTAAAATAGGCCCAAATAAAGTAATGTGGGCTGAATCACAACACTTTCTCTATGCAAGCAGAATTCTTTGTAGCAGCTGATACCAAGTCACTTTGTTTACTCACACTTTGCAGGTAGGTGCAGTGGGACTGATGAGCCAGTTTACCCAAAGCAGCACTGGGAAGCAAGGGCTGCCTGTAGCACACTTGTTTTCCTCAGTTGTGCTCATTGCACTAGACACCCTTCACATTTCAATGACAATTTCCTAGTAATGAGTGTCATGAAAAACAACCAAATGAGGTTTCCCACATGGTAAATGTCTCTGAAGCATTGAGAATGTTTTCTGACAGCTTGCTCTTTCCAGTGTTTGCAGCAGATCCCTGACCATGCAGCATGCAGGTTCTGAGCCCTCAAGAGCAGATTCCCAGGAGACTCCTGGGTGGTGCAATGTTTGCTCTCTCAAAATAGGGAAACAACCCCACAGTTTTCTCATTGCACTGACATTTTAAGTTGAATCATTTCCTGATCACTGTGGCCAAGACTATGCCACATCCCACCAAGCCTTCTCCACTCCCAACCAGCAAGTCTAGGGCATCTTTCCTAGTATTCTCTGAGTACTTATAATACCAAGTTCTCTCCCACAGACTTCAAGAATTTTTCAAATCTGCTCACCACAGTAGGATGGCATTTCCAGCTGGTCTCTAAAAAGTTGAAATCTGCCATAAGGACAAATGTTGCTGATCTGGAAATTTCTCTTTATTGCCTGTCAGATTAACTTCTCAGCACTGGCATCTCAGCTGGGCAATTGATAGAAGACACTCACTACATCTGCTCTGTTTTCCCTCTCTTCATCCACACCCAGAGGTTCCCAACCACATCATCACCAACTGTAAGGGCTGTACCATCCAACCTCTCCTTTCTATTTAGTGCAACAACTCCACCTTGCCCCGCCCTCTCCTCAAAAGCCTGTACTCTCCATTCCACCACTCCGGGTGTAGGACAAGTCCCACTTATGGCAAGGATATCCCCAGCTCTGTGAATGGACCAAGGCTTCCAGTTAAACACACTTGCATCATCAACCCCTCAGCCATCTTGCCAGGGACACCCCAGTCCCTGCACCCCTGCCCTCCAGGAGAATTTGGAGGGGCTGTCGGGGCTAAACAGAGCAAAGGGAGCCACCACATTCATTGTTAGGAGATGCCAGAGAGCTCTTAGCAGCTAATAGCCAGAGCAGCAAAACCACCACTATGGTCTTGCCAGTACGGTTCATAACACGTGGCCCCCAGGCTTTCCAGTGCCCTGGCTCCTGAAACCTAATCCCAAGGTAGGGAGCAACCTGACCCCTGCAGCCCCAAGATGCTCTCAGAGCAAGAGTGGAGGTGGCTGACTGCCATCACTCCTGATTCTCTCTCAGGCTCAGCCAACTCATTGGGCAGGAGCAGCCCTTCTCCACAGCCTGGGCACTTCCAGGTGATGAAGACTATGGTGAGACAAGCTGCCCTCTTCAGCCCTTGGATAACCACAGCAGAGGAGAGACCCACCTGTAGCCTGTGGAAAAGCCCCACTCCGGAGCAGGTAGCGATGCCTTGATGGAAACTAAAGCCCACGGAAATTCCACACCAGAACAGGCTCCTTTCAGGAGCTGAAGCCTGTGCTTAAGAGCACACACAGGAGCAGGTTTCCTGGCAGCTGGAGCAATCTGTTTCAGAAGTACTGCACAACTGTAGAAAAGGACCCAGGTTAAAGCAGAGGAATACTGTAAGGAGTAAGAAGCAGCAAGATTGAATGTTATAGACTGACCACAAAACCCACTCCCCATCCTTCTGCACAGCTGGTGAGGAGGAGCTGAATAGTCTGTAACGAAAGTGAACTTGAGAAGGAAGAGAAAATTCATTTTAGTTGTGCTTTTGTTCCTTATCCCCCTACTCAATTTTTCATTGGCAATAGAAGTTATTGTCCCCAACTTTATCTGGCTAGTCCTTCTCTCAACCCAGCTTTCCCATTCTACTTTCTCCCCCATCCTGTGGAAAAAGGAAAGTGAGAGCAGCTTAGTGAGTATCTGGCAGGCAATCAGCCAACGTCAAACTCATGGAGGTAATGCAGGAGAGATGGAGAAGGTATCCTCCTCATTCAGCCCTCAGAGCTTTTGCTGTGCTCAGAGAAGGGTCAAACCTGGAAAACAAGACCCTGCCAGAGCCCTGCACATTGCACATACCTGCAGCAGGACATCTAGGATGTGCTGAGCTGGGTGAATGTTGGTTATTTCAAGGAGGAAGTGTTTTATTGCTAAGGCTACACGAGACAGACATCTTTCAAGTATGTAGCCATAGGGTATAAAGAAGAGGAAAAGACTCCTCAAAGGCTGCACAGCTGTAGAACACAAGGCAGAATGCACACAGCTTCAATAAGGGAAATTAAAAGAAATCTGAAAAAAAAGAAAAGTTTCCCAAAGGAACATTCCTATGTTAGAAAGGGTAGGACAGAGCAGCCACACAGCTTTTGGGAAATTTCAGTACTGAACCAATCCCAAGCAATCTGATCAAAGCTCTTGCTTTCTGTGAAGGCTTGTACCAGCTGATCTCCAGACAACCTTCCAACCTGGAGTACTCCTAACTGCACAAATATCCAATGGTCTGGATACATGAGACACTCAAAACCAAAAGAAAAAACCTCCCCTTGCAAACATACAGTATACGTAAATACATTTAAACAAATAACAAAAAAAAAAAAACTTATTGCTTTATTGAAATTTTGACATAGCTTAACTTAAAATTACTCAAAGTTCTTTGAGAATTTCTGTAGAAATTATTGACTACTTTTCAGCAGAGATAAGCTTAAACCAAAGATATTGAAATTATGCTAGAATTCAGACAGAATAACTTTTTATGAACTAAACAATGTTTCCCTTGTCTAAGAAGAGTATCCCCATAAAATGCATTTCCTGGCTCTTGTTTAGGCTCCTTTTCTGTTGGTTTACACAAAACTTTGAAATACTCTGTAGATGGCTTTATAAAATTAAAACTTCCAAACAGTCCTCTAACAAGCTTTTAGAATTACATACTAGCAATATTCTATCCTCTTTGACTCAAAAGTGCATACACATTCAGAAGTTTTATACATTTTCTAGACATCTTTTCAACAGACAGAAACCCTACCAGACATTTTAGTTCTCAAGGGAAAAAAAAAGGAGTTAAAAAAAAAACATTCACAGTTTTAACAAGTGTTCCAAGGAAAGCCTACTACATTTTTTCTTCAGGGAAATCAAACCACGAGGATCTGTTGACAAGTCTCTTTGGCAGTCTTAGTATCAATGGCTCTCTCTCGGGACACTCCAAGAAGGAAGTCCTGGGGGAAGGCAGTTGACTGGAAGGCGCTGCTGGTGCTTCCTGAACACAACTGGTTACAGTTTCTGTGTGAGAGGTGTTACTGCTGGTATTCACTGTGGTAACACTCTGATCAGCTACTGTTTCTTGAAGTTTGACATCAGCATTTCTAACGCCACCATCTAAGTTTTCCGTTGTGGCAGGGATACCATACTTTTTGTCTGCTCCTCCAGTTTCCTCACATGCTGTCCTCCTCAGAAAAGATGGAGACTCATTTTCCCTCTCATTTATCTGAGTTGTTACTGTAATACTGCTGTCCCATTCGGTACTTTCTGGCTCCTTGCTACTATCACTATCAATCGTAATCACCACTGGAGAAGAACGTACGGAGTTACTCATGTGATGTTTCCGATGTTTCTTCTTATGCTTTTTCTTTTTCTTTTTAAGATGCCTCGTTGTGTCTGTTGCTTTTCCTTCATAGACTATCTCCACACTTGGACTCCTCATTTTCTTCTTCCTTTTCTTGCGCTTTGTTTCACTGCTTGCACGATTGTCTGACAGGCTATCTTCATTTTTACAGCAGTCATTAAATTTTGAGGAAGTTTTCTTGGAGTCATTTTCTCTTTCTAGACTTGTGCTCTCCATAAATGCATTCTCCAGGTGGCGCGTTTTGTACTTCCTTTTTCCACCAGGTTTTTCACTTTTCATTCTGTCAGTTCCTCCAGAAGGAGTCCTTGATCTGTTGCTTGACCGACTCCTTGACCTGCATCTTTCATAACAGTAATAGTGTCTCTCATGAAGTCCCCTCTGGCTATGCAGATCTGTCCTCTCAATAAATGAGCGTATCCTGTACTCTGGACTAGTAGATTGTCTTGAGTAAAGAGTGTTAGACCGAGTCCTCCTTCTGGAGGATTCATAGCTGTCTCCAAACACCTTTCGACTACAGAAGGCAGAACCCCACTGGTGTCTACTTTGATAACTATCTCTTACATAATAGCGATCGCTGTCTCTACTTCTTGATCTCCTTTTACTGTGGCCTTTGCTACGTGAACGCGACCTGCTCACTTCTCTGGATGGAGTGCTCTCACCACTTAGAGAACCCCTCTGGCTTTTAAGAGAGGCTCTGCTATCATGAGCCCTGGACCTTCTGCTGCTTCTTTTGCTTCTATGTTTGCTACTATCTCTGCTTCTCGATCGTCTCCTTTTAAGTTGGCTTTTGCTGTGGTGTTCCCTCCTAGACCGATGGCCATGACTGCCTCGACTGTCCCGTGAACAGGACTGTGGGCTTCTGGACTTTCCCTTTTTAGACAATCTGTGATTCCAAGGGGAGCATACTGTGTCACTCCCTGGAGAGGGGCTCCAACTCAAGTCATGTGGAGGCAGATCTTTTCTTTTACATTTGTTCTTCTCATCTTCTTTTGATTCCATCTTCTCAACTGCAGGAGACAAACAGATTCTACAAATTCCTACATCCTCCCTATATGTTGGGGAATGTGGCGAGAAGCTCCTGCTTGGTTCACTGTCACTCCAGCTGTGACACTGGACGGGTTGCTGTTTCTTGACATCTTCCCCTTTCTCTTCCTTGATGGAATCCTCCGAGTCAGAGGACAGCTCAACCACTTCTGGTGTCCTCTCAGCCAAGGGCTTCACATACCCAACAATGACACAATTGTCTGACGAAGAGCCACTGTCGTTTGAGTCAGCATTAGCCTGTAACTCAGTTTGCAGCTTGGCTCTTTGACTCCCCGTAGCAGAGTCCTCATCAGAGCTTTCTGATGACTCCAGAGGAGAAGCTATGCTTGCACGGACCTCTTCTGAAATGGAATAGGAAGGTCCTGGAGTTTCATCGTCCCAGGGGGCCTGACCAAGACCAGGCACAGACAAGCTATTATCCGGCCCTTGTGGGTACGCCACGTCTGGAGATATTGTAATAATCGATGAGTCTGAGTGGCTTCCTTCCTCATACGATGGTGCAGGACAGTCATAATTGGCATGCTGATCATACGCTTCTAAGTTAAAAGGACAACGAGCAAAACTGATGAATTCATGCAGGAAGTGCTCTGTCCGATTCAGCAAAAATGGCTTTATATCATCAGCAAAGGCCTGACTTTCCAGATCGTATCTGGTCACGTTACTCATGATGATGTGCTGCACAATATTGATCAAAGACCCGTGGGCACCAAACAGGACTGTCAGCTCTCGCTTCAACCAAGGAACCAGGCGGTGAAGGCAAGCAGGGTTGCGGCGGAAGAACTCTGCCGAAATCTCTCGGTACCGGCCGCCGTCCTGAATGCTGCGGATGCGCACGCCAGTGCGGTACAGAGCCCTGCGGAAGTTGATCATGTCCTCCTCCTGGATCTGTCGCAGAGATCTGCCCTCTGCGCTCGCCTTTCTCCTCGAGGCCAGCCTCCTGATCATCTGCTGAATCTCTCTGTGCCGCTGTCGCGTTGGCTCACTTGACAACCCTTCAAACAACATCCCGTTATCTGGAGGAGACAGCATCCTTCGGGAAGGGGAGCTGCGCGAGCGGCGTTCCCTGGTTAAGGTGGTGCGATAACGAAATCTCCGGCCATCGGGGCTGGCAAAAGAGCTGGTTTCTAAAGGGCTGAGAATGTACTCCTTAAAGTCATCTTCAGCACGGATCGTATGGAAAATGGAGAAAAAGGGCTGCTTGCAGAGCGGGCATTCTGCTTTGTTTTTTGACCATTCTTGGACACAGCGGAAGCAGAACCTGTGCAAGCAGCGATCTAGATACGCAACATTGTCAAATCTATCCAGGCAGATGGGGCATTTGGAGTCAGGAGACGCATCTGTCGGCAGCTTACTGGTGCTGGCTTTTGGCGAAAAATTGCTATCTTCTGCAAACTCTTTATCTGAAGTCATGTTCTAGAAAAGACAAGAGACAGAAGATCATTGCTATCACGGAGAAACAAAAGTCTTACACTCTGGAAGCAGAAACCCGTAACAATTGCTTTTAAGGTTGCAAAACCCAGCAGTGTCTCTGAGGGAATGCTGAACAAAGAGACACCATGTCCTAACGGCTTTTTTTGGCTTCTCTTCACAGTGAGATTTAGCTCTTCAATGCTGCAAGTTTTATACAGCACTTGAATCATGCTGGCATAGATGAAAGTAACAAGCAAGCCTGTCTTCTTCTGCACTCTTAAACAACTCCTTTGTTGTGGTTAGTAAATTAATGATTTACATGGTATCTTCCAAAACATTGCTTAAAAAATCTAGCATTTACACATGAAAAGTATGAGAACACATAGTTTTGTGCTTTAAAACAAACGAGCCAAAAGATTTACACTACGACAACTATGTTATCACCTTCCAAGTTCTGCTGCACCTGTTCTGGTCCTGTACACTCTGCCCCTCTTTGTTGGGCATTCATGCTGGACTACACACAGCTTGTTGGAGTAGACAATCTCCAGGGATGTGCTCCTGCCAAAATAAGTATTATTTTTCAAGACTGAAGCAGAAATAACCTGATGTCATCCTCAAGCACACAGCACTTTTTATGTAGTCAGGCTGGTTTTGCCTGAGACAGTAAATTTTCTTCACAGTGACTGGTCTGGGAGTGAGTTTTGAATTTGTGTTGAACACAGCATTGATAATACAGAAATGTTTTTGTTATTGCTGAGCAAGGCTTTCACAGAACCAAGGCCTTTTCTCTTGTTTGTACTTCCACCTTGGTGAGGAAGTTGGGGGTGCATAGGAAGCTGGAAGGAGACACAGCTGGGACAGGTGACTCCAACCCACTAAATGGATATTCCAGACCATGTGACATCATGCTCAGTACATAAAGTGGGGGGAAGAAGGAGGAAAGGTGAGACATTTGGATTGATGATGCTTGTCTCCTCAAATCACGTTCACATATGATGGGGGCCTGCTCTCCTGGAGGTGGCTGAACACCTGCATGCCCATCAGAAGCAGTGAACGAATTCCTTTTTTTCTTTGGTTGTGTGCATGGCTTTTGGCGTCCTTATTTAACTGTCTTTATGTCAAACAATGAGTTTTTCAGCTTTTACCCTTTCGTTTTTCTCCCTGATCTCACTGG